GGAAAATTTGAGGGTAACAGAGGGACTTTGAAGCAGAAAACCTGGCTTGGCTTAAGAGAGGAGGGGATGTGTTTCACCAGTTTTTAGTGGAGAGATCACAGAATTCTGTATTATTTTTGGAAAGCTACTGAACATATTGAATCTTGGTTAGATAAAATAACTATGAGAATATTGAACTGGTTGACTCATTATAGGACTGTATTTAAATTCAAAAATAAATTTAAGTAATAAATAAGTAAATAGATTTCAATAGGTAAATATAGACAACAGAATAGTATTGCTGATTTTTTCTATAGGAATATGGGTAAATATTTGAGTAAGTATGCAAGTTGGCTACTTATGTACGAAGGTAAACACAAAAGAACTAAAGCAGAAGCATAGAAAGTTCTTATAGTAAGTTCCAAAGAATTCATTGGCTGGGACATGATGAAGAATTAAAGGAATTTTAGAAAAGTTAACAAATGGCTCTTGTCCTTTTCTGTCTGATTTATTTTGATTAGCATGATATCTCAAACATGAAATCTATGTTGTTGCAAACGACAGTAGTTCATCCTTTTCTCATAATTGGGTAGTATTGCATTGTATATATGTTGTGCACCTTCTTTATATAACCAACCATCAAAGGACATGAAACAGAAAGCAATAAATGAATAAACAACAACAAAAAAACCTTATAGATATGGACAAAAACGTGATGATTCTTGGAGGGAAAGGGGATGTTGAAGAAGGTAAAGGAGGTCAAGTATATAGTCATGAGAGGAGACTAGACTTTGGGTGCTGATCACGCAATGCAATATGCAGATGAGGTGTTACAGAATTGTATGCTTGAAACTTATATAATCTTATTAACCAATGTCACCTCAATAAACTTAATAAAAATTAGCTAATGGAATTGTCTAACTATAGTTAGAATCTATACACTTGAAAATTTCAGGCTCTGTGATAACACTATGTATGCAAAAAATTTAAACTGGACATTTTAGGAAAAATATTTCAGAGCAACTATAACAACAACAACAACAACAACAAAGATAAAACCATCTAAAAGAATCTAGAACTCTCTTTTCTGGATTCAGCTTTTTTTTTTTTTTGGACATACTTCTCCAGGGTATCAGGGAGAGGATTACTCAGATAATTAATAGAATTTTATTCTATGTCCCAGGCCCTAAATTCCTCTAAAATGGTATCCTAAGTGATCTCTAGAGATGCATGGCATGGAAGTGAGAAGGAAGTGAAAAATAAATCTTGGTGGCCTCCCTAGATGCTAAGCAGTACCTGATTCATCCTAGTTTTCCTGGGCACTAAGATCAAGTGAAAATCTAATGAGCTTGTTTTCTGTTTTAAATAGACAGAGGCAACAATGGGTGCTGCACATATTTTGTGTCAAGTGGCTGCCCAGTGTGGGATGAGGAAACAGCAGAAGCAGCAGTGATCACATCAATCACTGTACTTTTTACCAAAGCCTGGAAGCTAAGGCATGTGATTCAGGTAATGGAAACTACTGTCATCAAGGAGGAAAGTGATATTGTGATTGGTACAATGTGGTGTGTTTTTCATAGTATAGTGTTGCTTTGTTCCTTTCTTTGAAAAAAGGCTCAATGTAAGACTGAAAGAAGACCTTGAGGTGGACTTCTCTTCCTGTGCTTTGGTCACTATTGCACTTCCAATACTTTCCTATATTCTGTCTCCTTTTTACTTACCGAGAACCACAGGAAAAAAATTAGTGGAGGAGTTTCAGGGTAAGTCTGAATGGTACTTGTAACCAAATTACCTTTGTCTTTGAAAGGGAAAGTTTACATCACCCCATACAACTCTCTTATTATTACCTGAAAGATGGCTGAAATACTGGGCAAGGAGAAATTATAAGAGGCAACGGCTGTAGAGGTCTCAAGTTAGAAACATGAAGTCTTATAGTCATTCCTCTGGAGGTGGCTGGGAAGCAAACAAACATAAAAACAAATAAGTGAGAAAATAAAGCTGCTAATTGACTGCTCCTTAGACTTTATAAAGGATTTGGCAAAGTCTGAGCTAGAAAAACCTGGATTTCACTCTGAATTATTAATACTTTTGGGCAAACAAATTAAACATCCTGTGCCTGCATCAAGAAACTAAGTGATTATCACTTACCCTGAACTCTGGAGTACATATTACTTTTTAAAGAAAGTGACATTTTACCTCAGTGTTCAAAAAAGACTTATCAAGATGAGGTATGACAGAGTGATTTTCAAAGAAGGGAAACAAATTGAGCAAAGTCAACATGGTATTGATGGGAGAATTGCCCAAAACCGAGATAATTTTCTGAGGGTGGTCCTTTGTAATACAAAGGTGCTAGGTGAATGTTCTAGGAAACCATCTGTGTCAGTGTACCAGCTGGCATTGTTGTGAGAGGTTGTATTCTGCTTCAACTCTTTCCACACATTTGTCCATTTCACGATGGGTGATTTGAGAACACACCTGCCCACACCAGGCTGAGTGTTCAGCAGTTTTTAATCCCAAACAGCCTGATCCCAATGCCCCACCCTCCCTATTCACCTGATTTTGCTCTGAATGATTATTTTTGTTCCCCTGGATTTAAAAAAATCCTCAAGGGGAAACATGTTGCCAATATGGAAGAGATGAAACAAAAAATGGCAGAGCACTGAAAGGCATCGAAATTGATGAGTTCAAAAACTGTTATGAGCAGTGAAAAAAAGTGATAGGTGTATTGCATCAGACTGAGAGTACTTTGAAGGTGACTGAAGTTTAAACATGTGAGAAGAAACACACAGGTTTTTGAAGATTTTTATTTATTTATTTTTAGAGAGGGGAAGGGAGGGAGAAAGAGGGAAAGAGAAACATCAGTGTGTGGTTGACTCTCATGTGGCCCCCACTGGGGACCTGGCCTGCACCCCAGGCATGTGCCCTGACTGGCAATTGAACCTGCGACTCTTTTGTTCACAGCCCATGCTCAATCCACTGAGTTATGTCAGCCAGGGCCCAATTTTCTAATAAATAAATTTCTTTTGGAGACTCAAATACTACATATGAGTCTCCATCATATGTAGTATTTTGATTGTCAAATAGTCCAGCAAAATTTAAACAAGGAATGTTAGGATACAGTTTATCATTCAAACTAGGACACTTCTGGGTGATTCATGAATGGAAAGAAATAAAATGGGAAAGAGTTTAGAAGACCTAAATTTTAATTTTTAAAATTCCGTGCCAAGAAATTTGAGCCCTAACCTAAAATTTATGGAAAGACATTGAAGACTATTAAGCAGTGGATTAAAATGTGTTCAATCCCTGACTTGGTTGGGATGTCATCCCTTACACTAACAAGATTGTGAGTTTGATCTTTGGTCAGGACACATAATCTAGGTTGTGAGGTCAATCCCCCATCAGGGTGCATACAGAAAGCAAACAAGATATTTTTCTCTCACATTGATACCTCCTCTCTCTCTCTCTCTCTCTCTCTCTCTCCCTTCCTCTCCCTCTCAAATCAATAAGTATATATCCTTGGTAAGGATTTAAAAAATAAAATGTCTTAAAAATTATGCTATAAGACAAAACTGACTTGAATAGAGGCAAAGCACAGAAATAGATGGATGTAGCTAGGTGGTCTTTAAAACAGAACAGAATGGTGATAGAATGGAAAGGCTGATATTAGAAATATTTTTGAATTAAAAATAGATTTTTTTCTGGTCTGATGATAGAACACAGATAATAGGTATGCTGAACCAAAACAATTTGAGCTCTAAAGAAATTATACCCAAGATGTGATAGAGGTACACTTATGAAGATTATAAACATGTGGTAGATGATGACATTATTACCCCCCCCCAAAAAACAGAACTCAGAAATAAAACCCATTTTTGGCAGGGGGTAGAGGTGGAAGTAATGAGTTTAGTCTTGGCCATGTTCAATTTAAAATTGAAATATCCAGTATGCATTTAGAAGGAGGACTCAGCAATTATGACAAAGCTTTCTTAATAAGTTAATTATTTGAAAATTATTTTCTTGTTGGCTATACTTAAGGTTGTGAGAGTGGACATATGTTCTATAGAAGGAATAAAGGGAGAATCCAGAGAATATTCTGCTCCTGAATTATATAAAGACAAAAGATATGGAAAGAAAATAGATGACCCAATGACTTTGGGGGACTACAGGATATTTGAGAAAGGGAGATCTCTTTATTTTTTCTCTTTCATGGGATAATCAAGTTAGATTGAACATCTTGACCATTGTTTTTGCATCTTATATTCATATAGCATCTGCACTTGCATTTTGAGTTAGCATATCTAATTCACCAGGTTACTAATCTAGGAGTAAAAGAAGCTTCTGGTAATTTTTTCAGAACTCTTTCCAGTAGCTATCATTAGCCTCACATTATAAATGACCAACTGAGGCTTCAAAAATGAAGTCATACAATTTGTATGGAAAGAGCTGAAATTTGAATAAGATCTTATTTGACATAAATGACCACAATCTCGTTACATATTGTCACACAATGTGTAATAAATAAAATTCAGGCCATCCTTCCTGCAATTATAACTTGCTGTCACAAGTCATGTACTCTATCAAACCAGGGTGCAGTGTAAAATTTTTGCATGAAAGATAGAGTCAAATATGAATATCACTTATGTTCCTGAATGTAATTTTGTAACATTCAACATTATTGAATCTCTTTGTGACCCAGTTGCTTCTTCTATTTGATGACAAAAAACAATTGCAACTTTATAATTATGACTTTAAAAAATTACATTTAGACTGTCTTAAAACTTTTAAAATATTATCTGTAGCATAGTATTATTCAACAATTATATAGCATTTATGAATACTATCATAAATGAATATAGCATTTTCAAAGTTACTATTCAGAATTTTTAGTACCATCATAGATGTAATTTTATTCCAAATTTAAGTTTGCATTCTCAAAAATGATCTGAATTAAATTTCTATTTCTTAATTTTTTCTCAGAATAAAGACTTCTGGAAAACTAATGTTCACCTATTGAATTAGTTATGCTGGTTTTCAACAATTCATATGTGGCTCCCAAATCTTTTATTCTTAATGGAATTCCTGGTCTGGAAAGGGTACATATATGGATCTCCCTCCCATTCTGCACAATGTATATCATCGCCCTTGTGGGAAACCTTGGCCTTGTGTACCTCATTCATCATGAGGAGGCCTTACATCGTCCAATGTATTTTTTTCTGGCCATGCTCTCCCTCACTGACCTCTTTACCTGCACCACCACTCTACCCAATGCACTCTGCATCTTCTGGTTTAATCTCAAGGAAATTAACTTCAATGCTTGCTTAGTTCAGATGTTCTTTGTCCATGGGTTCACGGGTGTGGAGTCTGGTGTGCTCATGCTCATGGCTCTGGATCGCTATGTGGCCATTTGCCACCCACTGCGTTATGCTACCATACTCACTAACCCTATCATTGCCAAAGCTGGGCTTGTCACCTTCTTGAGGGGTGTGTTGCTAATGATTCCTTTTCCATTCTTGGTCAAGCGTTTGCCATTCTGCCAAAGCAATATTATCTCCCACACATATTGTGATCACATGTCAGTGGTAAAGTTATCCTGTGCCAGCATCAAGGTCAATGTCATTTATGGTCTGATGGTTGCTCTCCTGATTGGAGTGTTTGACATATGCTGTATATCTGTGTCTTACACCATGATCCTCCGGGCAGTGGTCAGCCTTTCATCAGCAGAGGCTCAGCAAAAGGCCTTCAGCACCTGCACTGCCCATCTAGCTGCCATTATCATCACCTATGTTCCAGCATTCTTCACTTTCTTTACCCACCGTTTTGGAGGACACACTATCCCCCCTTCTCTTCACATCATTGTGGCTAACCTTTATCTTCTTCTTCCTCCAACTCTGAACCCCATTGTTTATGGGGTAAAAACAAAACAGATCCGAGACAGTGTCATAAAGCTCTTCCAGTGTGAAAAATGTGCAAGGATCCAGGACAACTGAAATTAGAAAAAAGATGAATGTAAAACAACAAAAAAGAAATTCATGAGTGGCATCATACATTTACTTATGTGGTATCATATATTTTCCATTGTCTACCTCAGATGCACATGGGGGAATCCCCAAAACCTAAATTATCTTCTGGAGGGTGGGCACCTTGTAGTACAGGCTTTCCCCACTAGGTGGGTGATCTAGGAACTCATCTGTATCAGTTTACTAACTGGTGTTGTGAGAGGCTGCGTTTGGTTTCAATAAATTTTTTTTCCCAAAAATTCTTTCAGTGCATTTGCCCATTTCATGATTGGTGATTTATGAGTGCACCTGCCCACACCGCACCGAATGTTCAGCAGGTTTTGTCAAAAAAATGGCATGATCCCCATATCCTACCCTCCCTATTCACTTGATCTAGCTCTGAGTGACTTTTTGTTGTTGTTTTCCTCTGGGTGAAAAAGGTCTCCAAAGGGAAACATTTTGTCAATGTGGAAGAGGTGAAACAAAAAATGGCAGAAGTACTGAAAGGCATCAGAACTGATGAGTTCAAAAACTATTTGGAGCTGTAGAGAAAGCATCTCAATAGGTGTCATGCATTAGTTGGAGAGTACTTTGAAGATAACCTAAGTTTAAACATGTAAGAATAAATACACAATTTTAATGAATAAATTTTGTTTGGGGGAATACCTCTTCATATGTTTTCTGCAACTATAGTGAGAAAATTTATAGTTAATTATGGGTTTCTATGCTGGTGCCTTTGTCTTATGTTTTCTCCATCACCAACATAATTAGGTCACTGATATTGACTCATTACGACTTTTCTCTAACGTGTCCATATAAGATATTTTATAAATGTTTTGAGAGAGTCTTTAAATGTCTCATCTATATTTGTAATCTTCATTTTAGATATAAAATGAACTGGCTTCTCAGGCAAGTCACTCCAGCCTGGGCAGTGTTTGCAGCTAAAATTCAGCTTATGAATTATGCTGATAATATATAGGTGAATATGGCAGTCAGGGATTTTTAAGGAATGAAATTTAGTAGAGATAATGTAGTAAAAAACATTTTACTCAAGAAATAAAGAATATGTTATTATATGGGTTAGTCCTCAAAAGTGGTAAATGCAATATTTGACTCACAAAAGCCACATTGTTTCTAAATATTGATTTATACTTCCTCAGTTATTTACTGATATGAGTTTTTTCTGTTAAATAAAATTTTCTAAGAATACCCATGGACATTTACATAAATAATGCTCACAACTACCAGGTATGTGAAAATGTCTTAATATAGTTTCTCCATGATAGTTACTTCAAATAGCTATAATACTATAGTAGGCTTATTATAGCTATTTTAAACTTATTAATAAACATTCTAACATCTGATCAAGAAATTGAACAGGCAGGCTTCTGGTCAAAATAGCAGAGTAGGTAAATGCTGTACTTGCCTCTTCCCATGGCCATATTAAAATTACAACTAAACTACAGAACAACCATCATTGAGAACCAGCTAAAAACTAGCTGGACAAATGTCCTAAAACTAAGAATATACAGAAGAAGCCATGATGAGACTGGTAGGAAGGGTGGAGACAGAAAAAGGTGTGGTTCCACACCTAAGTGTGGCAATTAAATATCAAAAGGGACATCTCAATTGTAGAGGTCCTCCCATGAAGAGCGAAGAGTCCCAGTCCAACATTAGGTTTCCAGCCCAGGGTTGCACTGCCAGGAAGAGAAGTTCCCATTATTTTTGGCTGTGAAAACCACTGGAGATTGTGGCTGACTGAGATGGAGGCTGCTGGTGTTCCAGGTGTTTCTCTTAAAGGGCCCATGCATGATCTTAATTGGATTCATTCAGTATGAGCTCCAGTGCTGGGAAAGCAGCTCAAAAGGCACTAGAGAAATACAGAAAGAAATTAAATTGTCTGCTTTCAGGATGAAGATTGTAGGTTCAGATTTCTGCCAGGGAGAAGTACTGACAGAAGCCATTGTGCCTTTGCTGACTACTCACCCAACACAGCCTGCTCTTGCAGGTGGGTGCCATGTTTGAGTATCCATCAACCTTGCTAGCACTGTTCATTCCGCTGTTCACTCCACTTGCTAGTGCTGTTCACTGGTGACTCTCTGAGACCCCACATAATTCAACTTGTGAACCCACTCAAGCTACTTCCTGTGGCTTTTCTGTACAAACTGCCTGACTTACTCATGTTGTTCAATTTTCCTAAAAATCTTTCAAAAGTTCACAAACCCTAAACAAAAAGTATCTAGGTTTGGCATGACCTGCAACCCTTCCTAAGCAGCCCTAAGCAGGGTATTAGTGGCAGATGGCCACAGATCATGGCTTAGCCTCTCCCAGGTACCTCCAAGCCCAGCACAAAAAGTAACCATCTGCATTTCACTTTTTAACAAATACCAATCGACCCTGAGTACAGAACAGGCAGCAGCTGACCTTGGCCTACACCAGAGCCCCTTCCAAGATAAACCAGAACCAACACATCTGGTAGTCAGCTTCAGACCATACTAAAGCACCACTCTACCACCTATATAAACAATACACCCAAAGGGTATACTGTACGGGTACCTGGCTCCACTCAAGCAAATTCTGCTCAAAAGTCCTCCATTATATTCATAACCAGTCCTCATAATAAATTAACATGAGGGTTAATCCCTCCCATAATGTGTCAACAACAATCAAGACTCAATTACAACATGAGGGCACATACAACCCACACAAGGGACACACCTAGAACACCTAGCTTAAGTGACCAGTGATACTGTGCAACTGGGCCCACAGGGTGCTTACTACATAAGGCCACTTTATCAATACTGGGAAATATATAAGAGCCCTACCTAATACATGGAAACAATCACAAGGAGGTAGCCAAATTGAGGAGACAAAAATAACATGTCTCAAATGAAAGAACTAAACAAAATGAAGACAAGCAATCTACCAGATGAAGATTTCAAAACTCTAGTTTTAAGAATACTCAGTGAGCCCTGGCTGGTGTGAATCATTCAGTGCCAGCCTAAAAACCAAAGGGTGATTGGTTAGATTTCCAGTCAGAGCACATGCCTGGGTTGCAGGCCAGGTCCTCAGTTAGGGGAATAGGAGAGGCAACCACATACTCATATGTCTCTCTCTCTCTCTCTCTCTCCTTCCCTTCCCTTCTATCTAAAAATAAAATAATTAAAATCTTTTTAAAAGTGTAAAAAAAGAATGCTCAGTGATCTCAGTGAGAACAAAGCAATAGGTAACATAAAAATGGAGATAGGAGCCATAAAAAAGAACCAGTCAGAAATAAGGAATACAATAACTTAAATAAATAATAAATTAGAGGGAAATGATGGTAGATCAGATGAAGCAATGAATGGAATCAGCAATTTAAAAATAAGGTAACAGAAAGAACCCAATCATAACATTAAAAAAAGAATTAAAAAAATAAGGATAATTTAAAGGGCCTCTGGTTCAACATCAACTGTACCTACATTCATATCATAGGCATAACAGAAAGAGAAGAGCGAGAACAAGGAATTGAAAATCTGTTTTAAAGATACTATGGAATTTTCTCAGAAAACTAAAAATGAACCTGCCTTTTGACCCAGCAATTCCACTGCTAGGATTATACCCTAAAAATCCTAAAACACCAGTCCAAAAGAACCTATGCACCCCAATGTTCATAGCAGCACAATTTACAATAGCCGAGAGCTGGAAGCAACCTAGGTGCCCATTAGTAAATGAATGCATCAAAAAATTATGGTACATATACACAATGGAATTCTATGCAGCAGAAAGAAAGAAGGAGCTACTACCCTTTGCAACAGCATGGATGGAAATGGAAAACATTATGCTGAGTGAAATAAGACAGGCATTGAAAGAGAAATACCATATGATCTCACCTTTAACAGGAAGCTAAACAACAAAACAAACAAGCAAGCAGAATAAAAACAAAAGACACTGAAATAGAGAACAGGGGGACAGTGACCAGAGGGGAGAGGGGAGGAAATTTCAGGGGAAAAAGGGGAAGGATTTACAGGAACAAGTATAAAGGACACATGGACAACGACTAAGGGGGGTGGAAATGGGAAGGAGGTGGGGAGCACTGGGGTGGATGAGCTGGGATGGGAGTAAAAGACAAAAAACTGTACTTTAACAACAATTAAATTAAAAAAATATTGACAAAATCCCTGGCTTGTGTAGCTCAGTGGATTAAGTGTGGGTCTTTGAACCAAAGGCTCATTAGTTTGATTCCCAGTCAGGGCACATGCCTGGGTTGTGGGCCAGGCCCCCAGTATGGTGCATGTGAGAGGCAAGCACACACTGATGTTTCTTTCTCCTTCCCTTTTCTCTAAAAATAAATAAATAAAATCTTAAAATATTATGACAGAAATCTTTTTTGACCTGGTGAAGAAAATAGATATACAAGCTCAGGAAGTGCAGAGAATCCCCCAAAAAATGAACCAAAGAAGCCCACACAGAGACACATCATAATTCAAATGCCAAAGTTGAAGACAAAGAATCTTAAAAGCAGTGGGGGAAAACAGTTAGTTCTCTACAAAAAAGTTCCCATAAAACTGTCAGTTGATTTCTCAACAGAAACTTTACAGGCCAAGAAATACTCAAAGTGATGAAAAGCAGGAACCTACAACCAAGATTACTCTACCCAGCAAGAATTTTTGTCATTTAGAATCAAAGGACAGATAAAGAAGTTCCCAAACAAGAAAAAGATAAAAGAATTGATCATCACCAAACCAATATTATAAAAAATGCTCAAAGAATAAAAAATGTCAATAACCACATATCTATCAACAATTATATTAAGTGTAAATAGTTTAAATTTTCTGGTTAAAGGACATAGGGTGGATAAATGGATTAAGAAAATAAGACCTAATATATGCTGCCTATAAGAGACTCACTTCAGATCAAAACACAGAGAGAGACAAAATAAAGGGAGAGAAAAAGGTATTGCATGAAAATGAACACCAACAAAAAAAGAGAGCGAGAGAAAGCTGGGTAGC